CATGTTGAGTTTTTTTAATTTAAATATGTATTTATTGATTTCAGAGAGGAAGGGAGAGGAAGAGAGAGATAGAAACATCAATGATGGGAATCATTGATTGCCTGCCTCCTGCACCCCCCACACTGGGGATTGAGCCAGCCACCTGGACATGTGTCCTGACCGTGAATTAAACCGTGAGCTCCTGGTTCATAGGTAGACGCTCAACCACTGAGCCACACTGGCGGGTTGTGACTATGTTTCTTGATGTGGAGGAGTGCTCATGGTGGAATACTCAAATCTATTTAGTTTTTCCTTTGTAATTACTTTCATTGCTTCTCTGCTGAGAATGCTTCTCCCTCTCCAGAGATCTGAGGAGTATATTTGTGCCTATGTGTTGTTCTTTAATCCAGCTGTTTTTATGGTTCCTGTTTGGGGCTGCTGCATGGTGAGGCTATGATTTGAGTTAATCAATTTTCTCAGCCATCTGATGAACCTCTCCGTTTTCTTGTTGTGCTTACTTTGTTAAGTTGGGATATGTACTGGGGTCTATTTCAGAGCTGATTGCTCTCGTCTGTCAATATGTCTGCCAGCTCTTTCTGCCAGTTGAGCTGGTTCATTGTTGCTTGCACTTTATATATCCTCACTAGAGGATATTTTTTCCCATTGACTTTTAGAGAGAGTGGAAGGGAGGGAGGAGAAGGAGAGAAACATTGATATGAGAAATGTATCTATTGGTTGCCTCTGCACATGCCCCAACTGGGACCGGGATCGAACCTGCAACCCAGGTATGTGCCCTTGACCAGGAATTGAACCTGTGACCCTTTGCTGTGTGGGCCGATGGTCTAACCATTTAGCTACACTGGCCAGCTTTTGTTTTTATGCCTGGAAAAATATAATATGGAATTAGCTGTCTTTGTAAAAGTCTGAAAGATGTCACTGGTAAAATTTTCAGACAATGGAACATCTTTAGAGGTAATTATCTTAGGGTTAGGTAAAATTTGCCATGAAAATATCCACTTAATTCACTTTTTTTCAATTTATTGACACTTTTAAAAAATATTTTCTTATTTGTTAAAATTCTCCTGTTTTTATTTCATATTTCTTTTCTACTTCTAATTTCCATGGATGTTCTTTCTTTTTTCTTCTGTTTCTTCATGTGCGTTTTGCATTCACCATTTTAAAAAATTGCATCTACACTGATGTTTATCATTTTCACTTCTTTGCTGAGCTTTAGGATATATTCAAATTAAGAGATATATAGTTTAAAATATAGAACTATGAATATTGTAAGTAGCAAACACAGGCTGTATGGTACAAAAGCATATGGACCAGGCTAATTGGAAAGTGGAGGGGGTAGAAAGAAAACTCGGAGGAAGAGGAAGTAAGCTTCAAGTCAGCCCAAATATTAGTTTCAAGCCAAAGAGGTTGGCTTAACCCCAATTCTGCCCTTTGTTGGACACAATATATGATTAATATATTTTCAGAAAGAGAAAAAAATCCACCCATGGGGTAGGAATCTAAGCATCCATTTTCCATCCCAGCGACAATCAGAAGTCATTCTTCGCATTTATTCAACTTTGTATTTGCCTGTGAACAAAATTGAAGCTGGCAAAAAGATGGTCCATGTGAATTATTTGAACAACAGTTTCTCATTGTGTCGAATTACATTGAGGCTGCTCGCTGTGAAATCTTGCCTCGGCCCAGGAACAGTGGGTGATATTGTCATTTCCCCCCATGCCCATCAAGTTAACCCACTTCTCTCCCACATAAATGAATTGATGGTCCTTTCCAACGTGGTGGAGAAAAGCTCTCCAAATCCTAATCACAGCTTATTAATATTTTAGGAATAAAAAGGCAGTTTATCTTCCCACATCACCCAGCCTTCTTTGTGCGTCCCTAGATCAGATTCCCAGATTATTTGGCTTCTTAATGTTTGGAATAGCTCTCATAGCCAACAAAGTAAGGAATCGTGGAACCATGGCCTTAGCTAGCAAAAGTAACATCGAACGTAGAAAAGTCTCCTGGCCCAGTAAAGTGGTCCAGAGGCCAAAATAATCACGTCACTCATAACACCAACCATTCCTAAGTTCACCATGGGCCACTAGGGGGATAGATGGATGACAAAAACTCCAGCCCTGAGCGCTGGCTTCACTGTTTCTCCAAAGGTGAACACGTAAGGTCGCCTAGTTGAGGTGTTGGGTGGGGTTTAAGCTGTTTGACATCATGGTCAGCTGTCCATTTCAGAGGCCGGTTGGAGGCGGCACCACAGATCATGGGAGGCCTAAACTCCTTCTTGATCCCCCTCCTCCTCCTCCTTGGAGATCCCACCACTTTGGGGTAGAAAAGGCAGGTTTCAGTTCCTGCCACTTGCTGGCTGTGAGCTCCAAAAAGCCACTGTCGCCCTTTCTTAGGAGTAAAATGGGCCTAATATGATCAGCCCTCCCTGGTGGGGGATTTGAATGAGACACAGGACCTCGAAGCACCAGCGGCAATCACGTGCTGTACAGGTGGGATGACAGTTACCATTTCCCAGCTGCTCCCTCTGTCTGCGTGGGAGAGAAGCCAGCCGAAGCCCCGGCTGGCCATAACCCACCTCACATCCGGGAGCCCAGATCTAGAGGTAAATAAAGGAGGAGCAAGAGGGAAGGAACCGAACACGTTAAATTCCTTCTGTCATGAGGCTGACAGCTAATTTCCTTGCGGCCAACTGTGATTATTCTTAGGGCTTGAAGCACAGGATTATTTTCATGGCTGCTTACTGTTAATTATAGGAGGAATCTACAACCCTAATATGGAATCCGCTCCCTGGCGGCTAAAGTGTCTGATTTCTCTAAAGAAAGTTCAATGTTTTACCTAAAATAAAAGGTCAAAACTGAAAAATGCCTGTGCCCCCTTTGAGGCAATGAGGTATAGAGCAGAGATCGGGGCTGAGATTCAAGTCCTATCCCTTTTGAGCTGTGTGACCCTGGGCTAGTCACTGCACATCTCTGAGTCTACATTTTTTAAAATATATATATTTTTATTGATTTCAGAGAGAAAGGGAGAGGGAGAGAGAAACATCAATGGTGAGAGAGAATCATTGATCGGCTGCTTCCTACACCAGATTAAGCCCATATCCCGGGCATGTGCCCTGACTGGGAATTGAACTGTGACCTCCATAGGTCAACACTCAACCACTGAGCCACACCAGCCAGACTCTGAGTCTGTATTAACAATATAGGGACAGTATGAATCCTGCCCTCCCCCAAAGACAGACCATTGGGTGATAAATGAGATACTATGTAGGGATTCACCATGGCTGTGATATCAAACACCTTTGTTTCAAAGGCTGGCTCCGCCGTGCCCTGGGTGTGCGACATTGGTAAAGCGAGTTAACCTGTCTGGACCTCTGTTCTTATCTGTAAAATGGGGCTAATAATAGTAACCAGTATAGAGGATGGGCGTGAGGACTAAATGGTAAGTGCAGTGAAGCGCTTGGAACAGATGGGGCCAGGCCAGAGTAAGCCGACAATAAACATTAGCTCTCATTATTGCAAAGGACGAATGCAAATAAGACTGGAAGACTACAGCGTGGTCTGAGTGCCGTTTCAATAGCAGCAGGATCGCTGTTCAGAGACAAGGAAACGGGCTCAGCTCAGCGCCGAGGCTCAGTGTGGGGGCAGGAAGGGGCTAGCTCACCACGGGTCTTCTCAGGACACGGGAGACCCTGATGCTAGAGGGAGGGAGGCCAAGGGTCAAGGACGGGATTCTGTAGAAAAGTTGGCCATGACTGAGGGACAGGTAGGGGGAGCCAGGGAGGGCTGCAGTGAGGTGACAGACTGCTGGGGACTCCTGTAGCCATGGTGACAGGAATTGGGGAGGATGGAAAAAGACCTCTGGTGGGAGCCAGTGCAGCCAGGAAACCGCCCAGATACCAGGAGGGGAGCATCCGAAAGGGACAGCGGGCCTCGGTGAGAGCATGTCTAGAACCACAGGAGCATGAAGCGTTTGTGTTCAAATGGTCCCGCAAGGCAACACCCCCAGCATGACTCCACCCATTCTCCTTCAAGTTCTTTGGGAGTAAGTGAAAATGATGAGTGTTAATTGCTATTCAGTTTCCAAATTTAAGCGTGCATGGGGACACAGGAGCCTAAGAGAGAGAGTGGATCATCCCCCCCCCCCACCCGGGACAACAGCCCAGGTGGAAGTGGCCCCGTCTTTCCCAGTTTCCTCTGAGCTTCAGATTCTAATGGCAGTGCCTTGGGGCCCAAACTCCCGGCAACGATTGATAAAGAGCAGCTGCCAGGGGCGGGGACATTCAGGGCAAGGCCAGGGAGAATGGCCCCAGCCACAAATCTACGGGAGGGGTGGGACCCAGGCGGGCCGGGGTCTAATCGCTTCCTGAGAGTTGCAGCCAAGGTTGTGTCTTCCTGAGGAAGGGCTCCAGGCAGACGGAGGGCCGGACAGGGCCCTCTGCTGGGGTCGCTGCGACCCTGCAGCAGCCTAGACACCGGCTGGGGGGCGACTGACAGTCGTGGGGCTCCCATGGATGAAGGGAACTTCCCTCTCGCAGGGCTTCCCTTCCTTTCTCTCCTTGTGGCCTGGGACCCTAGGGGGAGAGCAGAGGCCGGGAGGCTGCAGAAGCCTCCACAGCGCTGACCTCTGGCACCTCCCCAAGCCCCAGAGCGCATCTGTCCCCAGAAACACCCGGGCGGAGGCAAAGAGAGACCGCAACTCCCCTTTCTGGGTACTCGGTTTGTTCTCTCTTCCTAGAAACAGCCGCTCCCCTCCGGCCTAGCCCCTCCCCCGCCCCCGGGGCCGGAGCTCTAGGTCCCCACCCCGCGGGGGCGCCCACGCACCCCATCTCTGCAGCCGCCAGTTCCTCCTGCAGTACCCAATCTCTGCGCCGCCAGTTCCTCCTGCAGTACCACCCGGTGTCCGCGAGGGCGCCCCGTGCCCCGCAGCGCCACCTAGGGGCCGGGCACCTCCTCCTTCCCTCCCTCCCTCCCTCCCTCCCCTCCTCTGGGGCACCCCACGCCCCGGCCCCCCGCTTACTCCGCAAGGACTCCCCCTCTCCCGGGTCATTCGGGCAGCGGGACTTCCCAGCCGTGGCCAGGAAGTCACTTTGACGCCCAAGCCGGTTCCCCTCCCGCCTCCCCCGGGGACGCGTGAGCAGCGCGGGGAGGCGCGGCAGGGGCGGGCACAGGCGATCCGGCTCGGCCGCGGGTAGAGGCAGAGGAGGCGAGGGCAGGCGCCGCCGGCGGAGCAGGGGAAGCCGGCGAGAGCAGCGGCCGGTGTCCGCGGGCGGCGAGGCGGTGACGGCGGCGGGCGGCGCGAGGAGCCCCTGTGATTGGCACAGCCCGAGCCGGAGGAGGCGGCGAGGGGAGGGCGGAGGAGGAGGAGGAGGAGGAAGGGGGCGAGCGCAGCGGAGGCGGCAGCGAGGAGCTGTGTTTCCACCTCTCCAACCCCGGCAGGACTGGGGCGGCCGCCGCGGGCCAGGGGTGGGGACAGCGCCGAGCTCCGCCGCGCGCACCCCCGCCGGGCCGCGGTCCTGACCCCCGGGGCGAGCGGGAAAGCGGCGGCGGCGGCGGGAGCAGGATGCAGGGGAAGAAGCCGGGCGGCTCGTCGGGCGGCGGCCGGAGCGGCGAGCTGCAGGGGGACGAGGCTCAGAGGAACAAGAAGAAGAAAAAGAAGGTGTCCTGCTTCTCCAACATCAAAATCTTTCCTGGTGTCCGAGTGCGCCCTGATGCTGGCGCAGGGCACGGTGGGCGCCTACCTGGTGAGTAGCCGTGCCAACTCCGCCGCGGGGCCCTTCCCCAGCCGCGCCTGGGCGGCCGGCTGGCAACGAGGAGGGGACGGCGGGCGTGACCTCCGCCCGGCGTGGAGGTTGGCGAGTGGTGCAGAGGCGGCTGCCGGCGGAGCTCCCGGCTGGGGCTGCGGAGCGAGCCAGGAGCGGGCGGGACCCGCGGATGCCGGCAGCTGCTCCTGCGCCGGCGGGGGGCTGGGGACCCGAGGAGGAGAGGCTGCGGGCAGGTGGGCGGGAAACCTTGCCTGTCCCTCTGGAAAGTGCAGGCAGAGGGAGAGTTGAGGGGCCCCCCTTGGAGAGGAAGGCATCGCGGATTTCGGGTGACCTGCACATGGGAAGAAAAGCCAGTTAGCATCTGGCGTCCTCGACTCTCCATTGCATCCGCCTGGAGAACAAATCCATTATGCATCATTTTCTCCATCCGCCAATTATGGAGGGGGGCGGGGGGGGGGGAGACCTAACAGCTTAGAGTAAATGCGCCCGAGTGTGGCCTGATCCCAACAGGGCTAGGCGGGGACCATCCCCGCTCCGAATCCCAATAGCCATCTCGGCGGCTGGAATAAAGTTACCATACCTGGGAAGCCGCTGTGAGTTTGTGTAGTTCCTGCTACCCACGCTTAGACCTCAATTCCCCACTGTTGTCTCTGGCCCACAAGAGGGTCGCATCATTTTTCGCACTACATGTCTATTTGATTTGCCTTCTAAAAGGGGATATGGGTGCTCAAAAGGCCCAGGGGTGCCTGACAGAGCAGAGGAGACAGCTTGTAATGACTCAGCACTGTCAGATACCCACTTTGCCGCGCTCTCCTGCCCCAGCAGGTGGTCCCAACTTGAGTGCCAGAGAGGATGTCCCCACCCATGTACAGTCCTGCCTAAACATGAGACGATTTTTCCGAGTGTTTAGCGTTAAATCAGTACTTGACTGTTGACCTGAAACTGGCATCGAATGTCACAGACTTCCAGCGTTAGTGAGCAAGTTTGTGGAAGTAGAATTGGACAAGATTTTGGCTATTGGATAACCACATCCAGAGAGAGAGCTTTTCCCCATGGTACCCCTCAGGCCTCATTCCTGGCCGTGGGTTACAGTTCATGAGGGCCAGACGCTAAATCCCCTGTATCATTCATAAACCATCTCTCAGGACTCCGGGCTTGCCGTGTAGGCGCAGGCTTGGTCTGTGGTGTGGGGTAGGCAGGTATGTGGTTCTGAGGGAAGACTGTTCAAACTCGGCTCTGTTCGTGAGGTGACCGAGTTGCAAGGCTTCTGAAAATCAAGTGCACTTCCTTTGCTCCTGGTGAGCTGAAAGGCGTGTTAAATAAACCCTGTCGCTGGGCACCCAGGACTTGTCGGCTGCAGGTGAACCCTGTAGCTAAAGGCACATTTTGTTCTGTTTAGATTTTTGTTTCATAAGATGCACTTTTTTACAGTTACTCTACACAATTGCACACAGCACCTGTGCCTTTGGATTTTTTGGGGGTAGGGGCAGACCATGGCTTGGGTCAGTTTATTAGAGGATATCTGTTAAAATATTAAAATAGGTACCTGCATTACTAAGACGCAAACGCGAGTTAATAAATATATGTTGGTCTTTGTGGTACCATATGCAAAGTCTGTAATTCCTAACCAGGCGGGTCTGTGTTTAAAAGAGGATAATTAGCGTATTAACAGCTGCCTCCAGTGGAACAGTTTGTTTGCCTCTAACCAGTTTTGTTCAATCGGGTGCAGCATTCACGTGTGGCAATCACCACCAGAACTTTTCACACCACGAATGAGCCAGGCATGGCTGAGGTTTAGCTCACGATGATCTCTGGCTTTTAGAAAGAAATGAGGCTGGTCTCCCATCAGATGTGTGGGCCAAGGCCCGTTAGAAAGCGAAGAAGCAGAGGGCTGGTGGGTGGTGGCTGTGTAGAGGCAGGGCTGGCACCAGGGGATAGGAAGTTGCCTTTAATCCTGTAACAGGCAAGTGGCAGCCAGAGGCATTCAGTCCATCTGGTGGGGCCTCCTGGCCCTTCCAGCCTCGGCCGGTGGAAAGCCTGGTTCAGGGGTCGGGTGACAGGAATCAACAGGTGACTGGCAGAAAGCAGATGGGCCCCGTGAGAGGACAGGCCCAGGAAACGGACTTCATTCTGATTACTAGGAGCGCTTACTACCATCAGGTGCTCGGGGCTCTGCCTTGCCTGGCTGCCCTGGACGCCCCGCCGTCATCCGTTGGAACCTCATGGAAATAAATAGTTTGTCCGCCAGGGCTGACTGAGTCAGCCTGCTACGGGGTTTTGCTCTTCTGGGTCACGTGGGAGTGTTCATCTGTTATTTGGCAGGTGGAATGAAAAGTTTGTTACTCCTTCAGCTATGTGAGACTTCCAGACTTCGTTACGGATAATTTGGCAATTTACATGTCAGGATGTTTGCAGGAAGGCACATTTCTCCCGTTTAGTCCATCGCAGGCTTGTTTAGGAAACCCTGAGAACCGCTGATTGTAGGTGATCACGCACGCAGGGTCCCTGTGCATGATGCGTGTCCTATAGAATCGCCAATTCTGTGCCAGTAACATGATTTCCAACTAGATTCCAGAAGTCCACGCAGTACCTTTAATTTAGCCCTCCCAAGTGCGATGTTTTACACGTGGAGGCTTCATTTCGGGTTTTCCCTTTTCTCTCTGAAAAGACGGATTGCGCAGTGTCTTGAGTGACACAGGTGTGGTCTCCCCATCTGCAGACCTGAAACAGGAAGTAGCCTTTGATTCGAGAAGCAACTGTGAAAAGCAGGACTCGGGGCGTGTGTGTGTGTGTGTGTGTACGTGTGTGTGTGTGTGTGTGTGTGTGTATGTGTGTGTTCCTTTAAGGAGCCTGCCCAGATTACTCCTGGATATGAGAAAGCCACCAATTGCTAAGCTAGCCAGGCGACCAGCAACTTTTGCCTGGTGTTGGGGGTCTCCGGGGGGAGTGCAGAACACTGACTTTGACCCTGAAGCCCAGACTCAGTGATAATGTGGATAAGGTACTCCAGGTGCAGCCTGGGCCAGCGGTGGATTCTGGGATCTGTTACTACTTCGTATCTTTTCATTGGAAATCATGCTTTATTTAGATCAGCCAACAGTCCCAGGGATGGATGTCTTCTCTCAGTCACTTAAACTGCAAAAACAATGTAAGTGTAAGAAGAGAGACCCACCCGTTCAGTTTGATCGTCACTGAACTCCGAGTAGAGAATGCAATTTAATTGTCCTTTACTTGGGTCTTCTCTCCTGGCAGCGCCAGTCTGAACTGACCTACTTGCCAGGTTGTAACATCTGCCTACGTCTGGGGCCCTTTGGAGAAGGCGCAGGCCTATGGGAACGGCATGCAGAGAGTTATGTCACGTGCACTGTTGGGTGTTTTGTGGAGATCCACTGAGATGTTGCAAGCCATTCGCTGAGAGCAGCGGTGCACAGAGAGGTTCGCCTGTGTTATCAAGTTACTGAGGCCTGGGGCAGATAAGGATGTGGACAGGAAATTAAAGCTCCGCCACCTCTGGGCAGCCGTGATCAACACCCACATTCAAATGCATTTGAATTTCCTCAGGATAAAACCTTAGGGAAAAAAAATGCCACTTTCGTCTCTGCTCCGGCACACAGGTGGTCCCCGTGACCAAGGGCTGGGCATTTCCCTGTGCACAGTTATGCAAAAACTAGGTCTGAGGTTGTGTGACCAGGCAGAGATGAATGACCATGTCTCACCAGGTGCCGGCTCACTTGAGAGTCCCTTGTTTTTTCTAGGCCCGAGAGCATCCAGTGGGCTGGCAATGAATGGGTGCGGTGAACCTGCTGAATTTTTTATTATTTTTCCTAAAGAATCATTTAAAAGATGGGTTTTGCATATCTAGCCCATCAGCTGACAGCTGAGAGACATTTTTGAAGCCCTTGTCAAATTGGGATGGTGACTAAGGCGACTGCATTTTACTTAATCAAATTATTTTACACACTTAAACGGTTTACTCACAGTGACAAATTCCCTGCCATTTGCATAATAACTATATAGCCCCAGGTCGTCAGAAATAAGATTACCCTGTTGTTGTTTTTTCTTACAGCTTGGTTGTTAATGTTTACCTAATAATAGGGGAGAATATTATTTCTGAAAGTTCTTTCAGCCAGCTTTGTGTACACACCTTGGTTTCTGTGCAGGGGTTTTCGCATGTGTTTAATAATTGAAGAAACTGAATTAGTTGTAAAGTGAGCAAGATCTTTTTCCTGAATTTTGTAGCTCTCTCCCTTTTGAGTTGGAAGAGGGTGATCCAGAGGCCTCTTGGCTGTGGCAGGGCCTTGCTAATCAATTGCTCAGCATTTAAGCTCATCTTTTTTTTTTTTTTAAATCCTCACCCGAGGATATTTTTCCATTGGTTTTGAGAGAGAGTGGAAGGAAGAGGGAGAGACAGAGAGAAACATCGACGTGAGAGAGACACATGGATTGGTTGCCTCCCGCCCCCGCCCCCATCGTGGCTAGGGATGCCTGCTGCCGGAACAGCGCTGTTCAGCATTAGCTGGATAAGTTCCCTCTTGTGATAGGCAGCTTGAACAAGAGGATCTCTGGGAATTTCTCTGGCTCATCTTAAAGCAAGCTTGTTCAGGCACCGGATTCATTTAGCAGACTGGCCCTGGGATCAGTGTAACGTAATAAGCAATGATGAGCGCACAGCTTATTTCACGTAGACGCGGGCCTTGCATAAAGATGAGATCTGTGAATGTTATCGGCTGGTTACAGAGATAGAGCAGAGGTTGGCATTGGTCTCCGAGCCTGTGCCAGGCCTGCTGCAGAGGCGATGGGAGGGGCAGGGACTCATGCTGAGCTGACCCTTGTCCTTGGATTCCAGAGTGCTCGCTGAGGTGCCAGGCAAGGAAGGCGGGGCCTGCCAGGTGACTATGGCAGGCAGGTATGCAGAAGGTGCTCAGCCTTGCTGTGGTAGAAGACAGAACTGTATACATTTCTATAGCACCTCACTTCCA